CGAGAATGTTTGGTGAATTTTATCAAGGGGAAAGATGTTATTGTCCTTCTTCCTACGGAATTTCAGAAAAGCTTAATATACCAGTTAGCCCCGCTAGCGGCGCATTACATACGTCACGACCAAATTGCAGTGATTGGTTAAATAAAAAAGTATCTGCCTACCATCAAGCGAATGAATCCTCATGCTGCGATGTCAGACGGTTTCCTCGAAATGAAACCGGCTGATGAATCAGGTTATCGATCATTAGTGGCATTGAGGGCAAATTGGTTGGGGGCCCCTCCAGATTTGGGGGCCCTAACCAGCAGCCTACTTTTGCCTAATGGTAGTGCTGCCTCTGTGTTTTATCACAGTCGGTCGGTGAGCCCAGTGTCGGGAACTACTCCGGAAGTCGTCATCGCATGTTTCCAAACGTCTTCCTGGTTTGCGACATAAGCGTGAATAGAGCCTATAAACAAAACTAAAATGAAAAATCATGCTTTTATTTTAGTCTTATTTTTGATAAACAAATTAAATACCGTGTCTGTAAAGAGGCTGAACTTGATTTTGATTGTCTTTAAGTTCATTTGAAACTGTTTAGTCGTCGAAACTTACTCGAGAATGTATAAGTTAAGTGAGAAGCATATAATTATTCATCACACGAGTTCATAACTAGCATGATAAGTATACACTTCCTGATTCTCTGACATTGTAAAGCTTTATAATTAAACGCAGACAGCACACAGTGGGCTTATACAATATCTGTACTTCGGTGAGGCACATTTTGCTCCGATAGATGGACAGGTACAGGCACTTAAAGGTTTGTCCAGCTGAACTTTGTATTGACCGATCGGCTCCAGCGATGCGTCCTCCCCGCGGGGCCAGTGGACAGAGGAGTGTGTGGAGGCAGCACAGAGCGGCGACGGGCTGTGGGCTGTGGCCTGGAAAAGCTGGCGGGCTGATGGGAGCTGTGCCGGGCCCCGGGGGAACGTTGCCCGGGCAACACGCGGATCGCATTCCCCGCTGGCTTTAAACACAGCTGTATCTGTGCTCGTGTGCTCATTACAGGGGACACTAAAGCGAAAGTCAACATTTACTCACCGTGTTTATCTTTACAGAGAAAAGAATTGGTTTGAGAGGGGAGTTAAAGAGGCTGTTTTTGTTAAGAAAGACAATCCATACTTGATCAGAAATGGAGGCCTCACACATCATCGGTCTCCTATTTACAACTCCAACCTCAAAACTAAAACAAACAAAACAACAGGGGTAGCCAGGTCAGGGCCAGAGGTGTGAAAACACTGTAGCACCCAATGAGCCTATGCCACTGGCCACCTGGCTACTGATTTGAAGTTGTTCTGACCCACTTGTAATATAAATCCACAGATCAACTCTTAGTGCTTTATTTATTTATTGCCAGATTATAGCAAGGATTCTAATTTCCATCTGTAGTCCCTAGGCAGGTAACACCACAAATTTAACAAAGAAAAAAACTATAAAAATAAGTGACAGTTAAACTAAGTGTCCACAAGTCTGGTTTTCCTTTAGCCACAGTTTCAAGTGGGATTTGAAAGTGTCCAGTGTTGGAGTCTCTCTTATTGATAGTGGGAGACTGTTCCAAAATGTAGTGCCTCTGACTGAGAGCACACATCGTCTGAATGGTTTATCAATGCCATCCACATATTCCACATACAAACAATGCAGTCAAAAACACTTTGCCCCCCAATGAGCAGAACCTGTAGCTGCCTTCTTGGCCCTTAAATATGTTAAGGAGAGCACCATACTGCCACACAGTGGAGGGAGGACAAACAGACAAGCACCAAATAAAAGCTCAAAATGGCTCTTACACTCATTATGGGCCTAAATGGTTCTGCTAATATGTCCCCACACTAAGTACAGATGAATAGCTAACAAACAGAAACTGTAAACAAGTAGTGTGTTAGTTTCAGAGTAGTTTCAGTGTAGTTAGCTCTTCCCTTCTCCAGCATCTGACCAGAACTGAAGAAGCAGCTTGGATGAGCTGTGAAAAAAATGCTAATTCTCCTTCGCTACATGTTAAAGCAGAAACACCGACTTCTGTCTTTATTGTTATACTGAAATTGTGTGGCATTTAATTTCTCCATCTTGCATATTTATTTAATTACAGGTATTTTCATTGCAAAAAAATAAAGAAAAATTAAAGAAAAACATTCATCCTGAGTGGTTTAATGACATTATGTTTAATCGTACGCTGTCAAAAGAAGGCTTTCAGTCAAACAAAGCTCATCGAGGCTTGCAGTTATAAGATGAGTTTCATATTTGGAATTCCAGCTGCAAGTATTATAGTAACCAAGGAGCCAGACAGGAGCGTCCCTTCATTACAACATGCCTCTATTTACTTGTGCTGGTTTTCCGACACTTTTTTAGTATCGCTATTCTGACACTTAATTTTTCTTTTTTGAAAGTTGCAATAGTTTACCCACACAGAGGGCCCTTGCAGCCTCCGTTTATTTTCCCGAGGGTTGGCCTATGCTCTTTTTTAAAATGCATGACTTCTTCCCACTGTCTAATATCCTATGTGGCCGAAGTATCCTCTGATCAAGTGGTTTGCACCGGCCCGAGCATCTTATGATAAATGAGTATTACAGGCTATTGCATTACTATTCTTAATGTCGGAAAAGTGGAATGTTAAAAAAAAATAGTAAAGTGCCGCTACTCTGACAATGAAAAAAAAAAAGTCAAAGTAGTGGGACAGTTGGAAAATAATGTTTATGCTGCTACTCCAACAATTAGACGTTTATATGATGACGGTCTGAGCTAGGGATGTAACAATAACCGAAATATCGTGATATCGTATCGGCAAAGTTCTCACAGCCATATCGTGGACAATCACAATATATCGAATTACAAGTTTCTTTGCTTAAATTAAAAGTTATGGTGCCAGCAAAAGCGGCATTGCGTCTTCTTTGCGTTTTTATTCCGCGTTTAGACAAGCGTTTTCAGGAGGAAATCTGCATGCATACAGTGACGCAAAGTGTGGAATCCGACCGGGTATGCACGCCATCTGACATGTTTGTTTCTGTGTACTGTATGTATGCGAAGTAAAAGTGTACGCAACCTGAGCAAATCTGACCAGGGTTTTGCGTCTTGGGTAGTGTAGACGAAAATGCAATGGCCACACAAATGGGCCCAGTCAAGCAGAAGTAAACAGCAACGCCAAAAATTTAAGTTAATGCATCTGATATAAAAATGTATTGAACAGATACATATGTACTCTAGTTTATGAAACTGTTGACCTTTTTTCTGTACCATTTTTGGCTCTAAAGTTCCATATGTTTTAAACAGACCATGTATGAAACATGGAACAAAAATTATTTCCCAAATTTCAAAGACCCAAAAATCATGTAAATAAATGGATGTATTTCATCATATCTTGTGTTATTCCATCTTTGAACTGTTGATGAAGGTACATGATTTTTTTTTTTTTTTTATGTATTTAAAATGATAAAAATTTGCTTGGAAGGACTGACATATTTTATAGAAAGTTTCCTTTCATTTTGAAGTAATATTAAAGTATTTGGAAGAAAAAAATTGACAAATTATGTAAAATCCTGCACCTTCTACTTGTTTGCACAATTTTCCCTCCGTTACTTTTCCCTCCGTTACCATGACCTTTCTTCATAAAAAATCTCATGACTCAAAAAGTAAGAGATTTTTCAACCTAATCTTGTACCATATGATAGAAAACTATATGAAGCAAATATTCAAACCAGTTTGTTAAGGATATGTAAGTGAGAACCACTAGTTATCACTGTTTGTATTTATTGCCCAAAAAGTGCTGCATATTTCATTCCCTCCGTTACCGACATGAGTTTTTAAATTTTTTGTCAACAACTTGAAAGAATATCACAGGTTTAACTTTACCCTGTTGGAGTGTAACTCTTTCCTACATTCTAATACTTTACTTATTTCAATAGTCCCTCTAGTTTCTGAATAAGAGCTGTTTGAATGTAAAAAATCTTCCCCTGTTTCCCTCCGTTACCACTTGACCGGACCCAAGTGTATTCAATTTTTCCAATCTGGAGGGAGGGTGGTTTCAGATTTTTGCATTTTTAAGCCCCCAAAACGGCATCACCCTCTAAATGAAAAGCACTTCTGATAAAATAATTTGTCGTTTTTACCCTCAAGCGTTCTCGTGTAAACAAGTCCTAAATAGTGGCATGTCGGAAGGGGGATAAAAAGGCACCTGTTAATGTTCATATCTTGATTTACGAACAACAGTTTTATTTAATCATAGATGCGTTTATGGTCCAATCTGTTTCACGTGGGAAACATGTGCCTGACACTATCCCAGACACTTGATTCTTTCTCACAGTTTATTTTCAGTATCGACAAAAAAATATTAAATAGTAGCAGGGATTTGTGAACTATAAGGAAACAACTGCATGACAGTATCGCAGACAGTAGTTTCTGTGTCAGTATCACAGCAGCGGAAAGGACTGAGTGGGCGGGGCTAACAGTTCAAACTAAAACATGTCCCTGACTCATGTTTTGAAACCAGGGACAGGCGTTTTAATAGTTATATATGACCGAACACGATGCCCCCTGCTGGTGATTTTACTCTGGTGCACTTTCTCTAGAATTAACATATTATTCCACATTATTTGTACATTAAGAGAATGTTTTTTAGAACATTTTCTGAACTGTTCCTTGTTCATTTTAACTACAATCTCAACAAACTGCAAGAAAATACATTGGCAGAAGTGCATTGTTTGTGAGAAGAATCTGTTATGTTAAATCCTCTTTGCTGTTTACTTCATCTTGACACACAACAAGTCCTCGCACACTCACAAATGTGTTACAATTCTACATCCATCCTAGTCCTCGCTTCACTTGAAAATGTTTACTCTGTTTTCCAAATCTCACTGTGTTATTTATTTTAGTTGGAGGCCATGTTTTTTGCTGTTTTCTCCTCTAAACTAACTTTATAAATGACAGTTGGAATTAGCATCCAGCTCACCCGCTCTGTTGTGGTTCTTGTCTTTCAGGGAGAGTGTCTCTGGTTCGGGTCACGGCTCTCAGACTGGGGCCCCTGCGCTTGGAGGACCAGGGCCTGTATGAGTGCAGGGTGCTCTCACTGGACACAGCCACCAATGAGCTGCAGAACGGCACGTGGACTCTGCTCTCTGTAACCGGTACGCTCATTTAATTTAAACTCTATTTAAATGTTATATTATTATTTTATTTATTTATTTATTTATTGTTCTGTTTTATTTTTGCTTCATGTTAGCAAATTTAAAGGTGCATTATATACCTTTTCTAGTGGAGGGTCTATCAAATCCTTGTCTCCATGGCAAAATTATTGTTACTTGGTCCCCGAAGGGTTGAGCAGGTTTTGTATTCGCCCTGTGTGTCTGTGTGTGTGTGTCCACCCGCGATTATTCCGTCATTTATGGACCGATTGTCATCAAATTTGGGTCAAGCCCCCGTGCCCGATGCTGCAAAAAAAAGTTTGGTGACGTTCCGAGGTCATTTGAGGTCACACGGGTCAAAAAAAGGTCACGCCATTATAAAGGATCGGCAGTTTTGGCAATTTCTGAACCATCTGCGGCCTAAAATATTCACCCAATCATCACACAAGTTGGCACACACATGACTGGGGTACACTGGATGTTACAGGTTGAAACCGGTCAAGGTCACTTGAAGGTAACCAAGGTCATATGCATTTTTGTCATAACTCCACATAGGATGAAGCCAGAGCAACGGGAGTTGTCTCAAAATCTCAGAAATATTATTATCTATTTATAATTCTATGCATTTGTATAGTAAAGTATGAATAGTTTTCGAGATAATCACTAATTATAACAGTTCCTTTCTCTTTCAGTGTTTGCTGTTAAAATTCTAAATTGAATGAAAATAATTTCCATTTCTTCTTTTTCTGGTGACACACAACACACTGATCTACAGTCACACAACTAACATATACACAACTCATGAAAAATGACATTTTGGTTACACATTAGTAAACACAGACATTCTCATGTGTGACCAATATCACACAAATGTTCATGGGCCTGTACAGATACACACATTACATTGTGGATATAATGATCATGTAATATGGGCTGGACTCCTCATAAACTGCTTCTGTGGTGATGAACTGACCCCACTGATGCCTCATGGGGGAACAGGTTGATATCTCTGACTGCGCTTATTCTGTCTAGAATGTTTCACAGTATGGCATTAAACCTTTCTATCTTCATGGAGACCAAGCCAAATCAAATTACAGGTTAGATCTGTGGAGGGACAACCCCACTATCAGACTGAATGTTTGGTTTTTTAGATATTTTTGAGCTGTGAAACCACATGTGTTGGAAAAAAATTTAGTTTAGAGCTGTTTTAAGTCATACTGTGGAACATTCCAGGCAGGGCAATGACATATCCATAAAAACAAGCAGGTGAACCACCAGAAAAAGTTACACAATACACCTTTAATTTGAATTTATATTGTTTTGCTTCATATATATATATATATATATATATATACATATACATAGACAGATATTACAACATCTACAAAAAAAAAAGCACTTACACAAGGAAAAAGGGCATCACTTAAACACTACATAGACATGGATTGTTTTCTTTTATTTTTTTGGCAGTGTTTTATTTTGCTATTGTAAGCCTTTATTGTGACTGTGAACATCAAAGTTCCATTTAAAATCTAATGCAAACACTGCATAGTCCCCGCAAATGTTATGACTCAGCTCTCTTGTACCACTATAGGATTCTATTGTCAGAGAGGATAATACAAACTTTCATTTATAGTCATAAAAGACTTTACATACCTCATCCACTATTCATTATTTTGTAGGCAATAGGAATATCTAGCATTGTTTAGCCTTTATGTGTGGAGAATGGCATTCTGTATCTATTTGTTTTTTCATAACCTAATCTTAATGTAATCTTTATTTAATAGCCATCATTGTTTTATTTCAGTTAAATGCCATACAATACAATAGTGGTAACACAAAACAACTGGGCTTGATTGTTAAATATTTGAATAGATTGTTTGGTGCACAGCGTGTAATTAGCCAATTATGGACTTAAAATTGAGCCTGTTCTGAATGAATGAAGGGGCTGAATATTACTTACAAGATAGCAACTGTGTAAACAATCTTGTACCAAAATTGAAACCGTGGAAATAGTATTTCCATACACGTCCATAAACATGTCCCCATAACATGTCCAGATGTGGTTCAGATCCAATCATTTTACTGATAACATTTGTTATGCTGATTTATTCTCAGCTACAAAAACATTAAACATGACGGGAAAGTTGTTTAATGCTATAATCTGGTGTTTTGTTTCTGAAGATGATTCTCCAATCAGAAAGGAGAATGAGTCTCTCATTTTGGGTTGCCCTTTAAATGCTGAAATCCAGTTGGTTTAAACCTAAAATGCTTCTCTCTGATCTGAATGGTCTCTACCTAAACCCCAGCAGCACATCATAAATCAGTGCTAGTGCAGCCGCTGCAGCTGCAATGTATTCTGTCCAAAAACTGAGAATAAGAGAAAATTGTACATGTCCTCTATCTGCAGATGAAGGCACCGGAGACCCAGGTTCATTTGTGAACACTTTTAAAAAGATCAGAGGCTACACAGTTCTTTAAGTGGGAGTAGTAGTTTATCCACAATGCTTGTGATGTGCAGGTGGCATCAAGCACACCACATAAAAGACACAGCTGCCAGGTGCAGGTGAGAGGAGTGAAGTTTCAAAACAAAAGTCATCATCTAAAGCGCTCAGCCCTTTTCATTTTACTCATACACACTACAAACAAAATGAATTTTTAAGAACTTTCGTAAACTTTTGACTTTTAAGATTTTTTTTACATTTGTCATCACACATACGTAAAGTTTTACATCCAATTGAAAGTTTGCCGCCGCTTTGAAGTTTTAATTCTATTTGGTAAAGCTTATCAATGATTCGGTGTGTGCGTGGGACTCAGATCAAAGGCTGTTCACCGGGCGCCTGTGCCAGCTTTAGAGGAGCTGATCGTCATAAGAGATAACTCTGTGTGTGTGTGTGTGTGTGTGAGTATGTGTGTGTAGGGGTGTGCGTGTTTCAGCTGTGGAAGCTTCCCCAGGTGTGCTTTTCACTCCCTAATGTCAGACGCACAATGCCAACTCTGCCAATGCAAAATTACAACAGCTCAACAATTGTTATTGTTGCGCCACTAAAGCTTTTTGCTAGAGCTGCAAGATTAATCACAATCACAATTTAAAAGGATGCAATTAGCAAATCACAAAAGCTGGAACAAAAGTTAAAGTACTATAATTTCCACTACACACAAAATATCCTGTCTTATTCTGCATAAAAACATCCTAACCTTGTACTTTAAAAGTGTATAATCATGTTCTGAAATGCATCCATCCATCCATCCATCCATTTTCTTCCGCTTATCCAAGGTCGGGTCGCGGGGACAACAGTCTGAGGAGGGCCTCCCAGACTTCCCTCTCCACACACACTTCCTCCAGCTCTTCCAGGGGGACCCCGAGACGTTCCCAGGCCAGCCGAGAGACATAGTCCCTCCAGCGTGTCCTGGGTCTTCCCCGTGGCCTCCTCCCAGTGGGACATGCCCAGAATACCTCCCGAGGGAGGCGCCCAGGAGGCATCCGAAACAGATGCCCGAGCCACCTCAACTGGCTCCTCTCAACGTGGAGGAGCAGCGGCTCTACTCCGAGCTCCTCCCGTGTGACTGAGCTCCTCACCCTATCTCTAAGGGAGCGCCCAGCCACCCTGCGGAGGAAACTCATTTCGACCGCTTGTATGCGCGATCTTGTCCTTTCGGTCATTACCCAGAGCTCATGACCATAGGTGAGGGTAGGAATGTAGATTGACCGGTAAATCGAGAGCTTCGCCTTTCGACTCAGCTCCCTCTTCACCACAACGGTCCGATACAGCGACCGCATCACTGCCGACGCTGCACCGATCCGCCTGTCAATCTCACGCTCCATCCTCCCCTCACTCATGAACAAGACCCCGAGATACTTGAACTCCTCCACTTGAGGCAAGGACTCTCCACCCAACCGGAGAGGGCAAGCCACCTTTTTCCGGTCGAGGACCATGGCCTCGGATTTGGAGGAGCTGATCTTCATCCCAGCCGCTTCACACTCAGCTGCAAACCGCCCCAGTGCAAATTGCAGGTCGTGGTTTGATGGAGCCATCAGGACAACATCATCTGCGAACAGCAGAGATGAGATCCTGTGGTCCCCAAACCAGACCCCCTCCGACCCCTGACTGCGCCTAGAAATTCTGTCCATAAATACAATGAACAGAACCGGTGACAAAGGGCAGCCCTGGCGGAGTCCAACATGCACCGGGAACAGGTCTGACTTACTGCCGGCAATGCGAACACAGCTCCTGCTCCAGTCATACAGGGACCGGACAGCCCTTAGCAAAGGGCTCCGGACCCCATACTCCCAGAGCATCCCCCACAGGACACCACGAGGGACATGGTCGAATGCCTTCTCCAAGTCCACAAAGCACATGTGGACTGGTTGGGCAAACTCCCATGAACCCTCGAGCACCCGATGGAGAGTGTAGAGCTGGTCCAGTGTTCCACGGCCAAGACGAAAACCACACTGCTCCTCCTGAATCCGAGGTTCGACTATCGGCCGGATTCTCCTCTCCAGTACCCTGGCATAGACCTTACCGGGGAGGCTGAGGAGTGTGATTCCCCTGTAATTGGAACACACCCTCCGGTCCCCCTTCTTATACAGAGGGACCACCACCCCGGTTTGCCAGTCCAGAGGTACTGTCCCCGACCGCCACGCGATGTTGAAGAGGCGTGTCAACCAACACAGCCCCACAACATCCAGAGACTTAAGGTACTCAGGACGGATCTCATCCACCCCCGGAGCCTTGCCACCAAGGAGCTTGCCACCCACCTCAGTGACTTCAGCCAGGGTGATGGATGAGTCCACCTCTGAGTCTCCAGCCTCTGCTTCCTCCTCGGAAGACGTGACGGTGGGATTGAGGAGATCCTCAAAGTATTCCTTCCACCGCCCGACAACATCCAGAGTTGAGATCGGGGAGGCCGTTCCTCCCGATCACCCCTCTCCAGGTGTCACTGGCGTTGCCCACGTGGGCGTTGAAGTCCCCCAGTAGAACAACGGAGTCCCCAGTCGGTGC